AGAACTAGAAACGATATAAAATTCGCATTACATGCAGCAGCACTTCACTCTCACGCTGACAGCCCTGCAGCTTCTTTTCCGACGTAGACATGAAGCGCAAATCCTGCAGTATATCCTTAACATTTAACATTGTTATAAGGCTCGTGTTGGCAGAAGGTATTATGATGATGGGTGTACGCGAGGGCCGCTTCTGTGGACCGTTTGCCGGCAGTTGTCGAGCCTGCGCCGTGGGCAGCAGATCCTTGGGGCCGCGTGCCACAGCTGTGGGTGTGGCTGCCGTGGAACCAGCACCATGGGGCATATTCGCCTGAGCCTTTCGCTGCGCCAGCGAACCCTCTGTCACGGATTTCAGCGACATACCGTGATATGTGCCCAACGTATCGATTTTAAAGCCTTCAGTCTCCTCTTTCTGTCGATTGAAACGCTCCTGATCGTAACGATTGTATTGCGATAGCTGCGGTTGTGGCTTGGTGATGCGCGCCGGTTCAGGCATCTTAATTGGATTCGCTGCCTGCGGACGATTGCGTCCCTCTTCACGTGCCTTAATACCCTGCAGCATAGCGAAAATATTCTTGGCAAATACTTTGCCTGTGCTTTGCAGCACCGATGTGCGTGTACGCCATTGCCTTTCGCGGCTTATAATATCCTTGGTAGAGTCCACATCGTAGTCGAGAATGGCCCGCAGATCTGTACCCATGGCCTCCTCATTGTCTGTACGCTTGATTGTGGTACGCTTGTTGGCCAGACGTTTCGCTTTGATGGCCGCAATCTTTTCAACTGACATTGTCTCCGACAGCGACTTGATGTTGTCCATGTTGACGGCTGTCTCCTTTTGGTTGACATCCCAGCGTGCAGCCAACTGTTCGCGCACCTTCTGCACCTGTGTCTCCTCGAAGCGCGCCTTTTTGGCCGCCGTCTCACCACTAGTTGCCGCATCTCCATCCGCTGTTCGCTTCACTTGTGTGGGTATCTCCAATGGTGCACTCTTGTCTATGCTGGCACATGTCTGTGTCTCGCCATTGAGATAGGCGAGCAGCTCCTTACGATCGGGCCGATTCACGGCGGGTATATCCTCGGCAGCACACTGACGCACATACACCGAATGCTGTAGCATAACATTCTTGAGCAGATACAGTAAGCATTCGAGTGTATAGTATTCGCGTGGAGCCCCCTTTTTGCCAGAGCTGCAAAAATATTGCGTTGGCAAAGAAG